GCAGTTGCAAAGTTTTCTGTATCACTATTAAGATGAGATGCGCAGTTCTGCCTTTGTAACTTTATCAACAGTGTTAACCCAATTTTGTTTATTAACACTATGATCATGTGGTGGATTTTACTGCATTGCGTTTCAATTGTATTGATTGATTGACCAATGGCTGCAATAAACTTGCTGCTGTGAAGAATGTTCTGTCCTCTAGATGTTGCTGAACACAATCATCAGTCACAGCCAAATGGTCAAGAATATAAAATTTCTCTTCAAGGATGAGCAAGAACACCAAATTGGTTATAAACATATGACATCGGTTTTGAGGTCTTGAAACAAATTCAGAGAAATCTGAAACAAAAGTTACATCATTCCTACAAGATCAGAATATCTCTTAAAAGGACAATTCCACCAACCAATGCATTCAGGCAAGACAGTTCAGAACAAAGTGAAGAAAATGCCCAAACAAAACTTATTTTAAAGTGTTTTAAAGAATCAGACATGGTTTGATTTTTGAATGGTCTAATATTATTATTAGACAATTGTCTAATAATACAATTACTCAACCATATGACGCAATCTACTCACTCAGGATGTACGTTTGTGGAGCTCAATACGACACAAGAAATCCCTACTCTCACCCCCAAACTTCAGAAAGCAGAGGAAATACAGGTTGGGCTGCTATTTGAATCAGATAATGTGGCCTGAGTAATAGAGCATTCATGGCAAAATCAAAATCTGTATGGGAGAAGTGACAGGGTTATTTCCAGTGAAGAAAACTATTCAAGTTGTTGTACTTCTTGTTGTGCACATTTTCTATGAATAGTATTTGGATGGATCCAAAACATAATCAGAGAACACGGTTTTCCTATACTGTAGTGGTTTTTTTTCCCCTTTGATAGAGATTGACATTCTAATCTCTTCAGAAATTATGCTCAATTTTAAAATTTCATGGGGGGGGAAACAAAAAGAGTAGCCAAACAGAAATCCACTGTCTGATATAATGAGTAAGCCAAATTGGAGCACAAAAAGAATGGGAAAGACGGATGAATCCAAGTGGGATTAATTATATCAAGTTTTTGTTTTGCCCTGCTGATTGAGATAAAGCTGGAGTTCCTTGCATTCTTCTCTCCAGAAACTGTTAAAATTATCAGAGAGTGAAACATCTGGGTCTTCTGTCTGGTGACTCTGCCTAATTCAGCACCATTCTTGTGTCACCATTCATTCTTATCAGACCCATTCAACACATTCAACAGCTTGATGTTAAAAAAAAAGCTGTCTGCTTTCAAACAGTTTGCACTATTTTAATATGCTGCTGCTGCTGCATAGTTTCTTTAAAACTCAGGGTAATCAATATGAAAAGGTTTATACAAGTATTTGGCTTTTGGGTAAACTATCTGTGCTTGTCTAATAAATAAGCAAAAAAGATTCCTGGCAACACTGATTATGTAGTCTAGCCTAAAAGACTCCCAGAATAAATCTGTTTTAGGCAAACTCCCTGTTTCATTCATAGCATCTATGATGATGCCATATAATTTCTCTTCATACTAGAAATCCTCTTGTTTTCCCTTTGTTTCTTCTTGCAAAACACTGAAGAGGGAACAATGGAATACTTGTGTGATGTCCTTTGGGTGACAGCACTAGGAATCATCTAGCTGAAGCTTCATGATTTTAATATGTTAACTAGAACGAAGAGTACACAATAGCAAGAGCACTTACACTTATATACTGCTTCACAGTGCTTTACAGCCCTCTCTAAGTGGTTTACAGACTCAGCCTATTGCTCCCAACAATATGGGTCTTCATTTTTACCAACCTCGGAAGGATGGAAGGCTGAGTCAACCTTGAGCCTGGTGAGATTTGAACTACCGAACTGCAGGTAGCCAGCAGGCAGCAGAAGTAGCCTGCAGTACTACATTCTAACCACTGCGCCACCATAGCTCATAACCTGAAATCCTAAAGTTACATGCATATCAATAGGTCTCAAAGAGGCCCTTTCTGAGTGGGTGTACCTACATTTGTATTAGTCCTCCCCACCCCCACTCCTGGTATTTCTATTTGATCCCATTCTACTTAGTTTTCAACAATTTACAGAAAACAATTGTTTGGAGAACTCTAGAAAAATATGTTGGTGCCATTAGACTGAACAATGCATGGTATTGTTTTTTTTTTACCTTTTACAATGGATCTTTTACCTTTTTCTTTGTATTTCTTTTATTGCAGCAGAGTTCAAATTCAGTAAATAAATAAGTTTTCTCAAAGCCCCTCTCCCTTATATATACACACAGACACACCTGTACCTTTTTCCAGCATTTAATGGGGTAGTAGTATCCGAAAATACCTGATTCATCCTAAAGTTGGATTTTGATCTCTCATAATTCAAAATATTTTTATTTTATTTAGATTTAGAACAGGAAAAAAAAGTGCTGCTCTTTTGATTAAGTGGGGAATCTAGAGATACAACATACAACTTTTCATTAGCTTGTTCATTAATTAGGGAGTCAATCTTTTTTTCTTTCTCAGACCGTTCATATCCATGGAAAACAATAGCAAGTAATGTTATAATTTTTTGGCATTTTGGAATACTTTCACAATTTCTAGTTCAATTGCAAGTACTAATGTTCCACAAATCCAGATTTCCAAGCCTAAGCTAAGGCAATTCTGCTAACTTTCTGTGCTCCATTGCTCTCTCTCCATTATAAATAAAACAAAACCCTGGAAGCAATTTCTTAAGAAGATGTAGTTTAGCAAAGAAGATATTGGCCTAACTTTTTTATCACATAAAAAAAGGCTACAATGAATTATTCAAATAGTGTTTTGTTATGCAGATAGGAGCATAAAGCATTGCATGAGGATAATACTGACAGCTTTATTGGCAGAACCTAATCAGCAGGATAAAGGGTATCGGACAGGATAAGCCCCTTTCACTTTCAATGTGCTAACAAACTAATGGGGGGAAAACAAAACCACCATACTTTTCAAACAAATCACTTGGGAAGGAATTGGAGTCAGAATTTATGAGTTGAACATCATTCAATACAGAGTTTTACACTGAAGAGGAAACAAGTAAGCGTTTTAAAGGACATAGATCTTCCTCAACAAAGATGGAAGGAAAATATTGGCTGTGACCCAGCTAGGAAAAGACATATTAAAGTACAATCTGAAAAGGGTTTGCTGAAGCCATGTGGCAAGAAGGTGACAAATCAGCAGCTGCCTTTCAATGACCCGAGAATCTCTTGAAATAGCTTTTAATTTTTTTTTTAAGGATGTAGCACAGGGAGCAATTAGAGAGGCTTGTAAAGTCAAGTACATTAAAAGCTGTACTTGGTTTTAATTTAATAGACAAGCTTGTGCAGTTTATATAGGCCAACATCCATGTGTTTTACTTCTCAGATCAACTGTTCCCAATTAAGCCTTTCAGATACCACCATTTGGGGTCCAAGCATAGATTCTATACATGCTCTCAAGTGTTGAAAGGCAGCTGCCATTATCTTACATAATAGCATGGCTTAAATTGGTATGCAGTAAAACTTTAGGTAATACATCCTTTGTGCAGACTTAAATAGAAACCCCAAATTTCTGCTGCCTTTGGAATTCTTGAGTCTAAGGATTTATGACATGCACTGGATTCAATCTGCCACATTTTAACTATTGCTACACATCTGGTCATAAAAGGGGCTAAAAGGTACAGCTAGACAGCATACTTTTCCCTTTCTCCTTAAAACACATCAAACATTCTTACAATGACAGATGTTTGTGTGGCCTTCTAGCTTTCATTCAGTGATGCTTACCACAATGCACTGCCACTGAATTCTTTAAATCTCTGCCTGCCTTCTCAGTAGCAACTTCCGCTCATGAAAACTCTACAGACTTGGATTAGATATTAGAATTAACATACATATGCATATCCAGCAATAGAGTTAAATAAACAGAAGGCACTTTTATCAGATTTAGTCCTAAAGTATATTTTTAAGGGGCTGGCAGGCAAAAAGGACTAAGAACTGAAACTTAATATAGGCAGGCCAATTCTATCCATTTTAGAAGAATTGCCTTAACTCAGGAGCAAAAGAAACAACAACAGGAGTCTGGAAGCACCTTTTCAGACTAACACATTTTATTAAAAGGCACAAACCTTGTGAACTACAAGCTCATTTCATTACATGCTATTTTATCCCAGTTTCTTTGAAATAAATTCTATTTAGTTCAAATTTTGCTTTAAAGTATGCATGGGGCTGCTAGCTGTAAAACTAGATTACACTGCTCTTAAAAAAAACTTTCTGGGAGAGAAGCATTTAAATTTAATTTAGCCAATCCTTCTAGCATAAATTAAAACACAGACTTCTTTCCACCAAGCCTAAATCTAAGGCATGAGAGTGATTGGGGAAAGGTTAATTTTTAAACTAACATTTATTTAATCCTCATTTGGAAAAATAAAACAAAGTCCTAGTGATTTGTTTAGACTGCATGGCAATTCTTTGTTCCATGCAAATTTAACAAGAGAATGCTAAATTTTAACCCACCCATATGTTCATTTATAACAGATCTTTGGTCCTTCAAATTTATCCCTGGGATTAAAACCACAATATTAAAAACCAGGGCTGAAAACTCCTCAAAGCCACCACATTTTTCCTTCCTATAATAACTCTCCAACTTGCTCTACAAGAACCGCTTTTCATAACGGTAAAAGGCCATCTTTTCAAACACCGGAGCTCCCGAAGAGGACGTCTAGTTTGAAAGAAAACAAAACGTGTAAATTATTTCTCCATTAGAACTAAGTATGTATTTACATGGAGAGGAAGGGGGTTTCTTTTATAACTTTAACAAGCTTTTTTTTTTAAAAAAGCCTCCAAGTCCTGTTTAAATAGTTACACAGCAGAACGCCTGTCAGGAAGGGAGTAAAACCAGATCCAAGGGCTAGCACGAAGAGAGTTAAATCAGAAAAGTTTGTTTGAAGCACCCTCCTCCCGTACCAAAAGAGGGGACAAGAGGCTGGGCGGCGGGGTTACACTCACCCGGGGGCCCGTGGTTCTGTGGAGGTGGACCTGCGAGAGAAGCAGCAGCAGCAGCAGCAACAACGAAAGCAAGCGAGCAGTCACCAAGCCCCCAAATCTGGCAGGCATGGTCCCTCGGAGAGCAGTAAGGAATATCGCAGCCTCAGGACAATCCGCTGCGGATAAGGCAGCGGATTCGAGGTGTTAACTCTGAGGGGCTTCGACTTGCTTCTGCCTCCCTTTAAAAATAATAATAACAATAATAAAAGGCTATCCGGGGAAACCCGAGCGCCGGCGACTTTATCCCCCTGCCACACAGTCTGTGCGCAGATGAGAGCGAGGGCGATCTACCCCTCCGGCCACAACAGGTTAAACACTTCAGCCTGAGCCATTGGGAGGCAGGATTCCCATTATAAACCCCACTGCCGGGGCAGGGCGGGGCCAATTTAGGCCAAGCCCGGGTGACTGACAGGCCGAGGGAACTTTCCCAGCCTCTCCGGGTTTTTCTTTTTTAGCCCCTCCACAATCTGAGGTAGCAAAGGGTTTGGGTTTTTTCCCTCTCCTCGCTGCCCGCGCTTCCGATGGTACATCTCATAAAGAAGTGACCTTCCAAGAAAGCCTCAAGAAGGGTTTTTTTTTTTTTTTTTGCTGAACAACGCCCGTCTCTCCCCCCCCCCCCCCCCCCCCCCAGTTTTATCCTAAACATCAGAGTAACTCACTCCATTTTCTGCTTTTTCATGACAGGCTGAGCGGGAGACTAATCTTACATGTGCTGATTTTCCTTGGCTAAACTAAGACTGGCGGAAGCCACCTTCTCAACAAATACAAACCATAACTGGGCCAGAGACTGTTGACCGAGATCTAGGGTACTGGTTGCCCACCCCCTCTTGCAGCAGGGATGGGCAGTCAGTAGCCTATTGCACAAAATTTTAAAAGTTGTGAGGAAAAAGTGTTCTGTTCTGCTCTGGAAGCATATTAGGAGAAAGAGGGAAGGAGGTGGGGACAGAGTGGAGAGACAAGGAGTGGATCTGCCTCATCTTGTTGGGTCCTTGTTAATTACTGGTTTTAGCATTTCCCCCACCAGTTACTGGTGACCTCTGACAGATACCCCTGAAGGAAATGTAACATTTGAGAAGCCTGCTTCACATGCAAAAGTAGTACAGTACTAAACAGAAAGCATCCTAAATGTGCATCAATACACAGTTGGTGGGATGCAGGCAACATCCTTAGTGTAGAGAGTAGAAAATGTAGCTTGCATTGAATAGAGTGAGTCTGCTGGCAGTACAACTGGGCTTCAGATGTTCTTGTGACATACTGGGAAAAATGTGTCAAACTTTATAGGTACTGTCCTTATTTGTTGGGAAAGCTGCATCTGGCCCGGCTGATAGCCAAGTTTAGACCTTCACTATTTTACTTATGTGAAAGCCTCCATTGGTGAAAGTCATAAAGAGTGGCAAAGGTCACTATGACCAGGCTAAATGAAAGACCCCAAACTGGAAAATAATGCGAGGAAATGGTAAAAGACATGAATTGATAAATAAAATAGAAGAAAATAAATATATTATGTGGGACTGTATGCAGAACAGATAGTTATTTTGGTAGTGTCAAGAGAGTATCTTGGGGGGGGGGAGGGTGAGTATAAAAAAGGAATGAAGTGAAACTTCTAGAATTAAAGTAGGATGACTGTAGGAAGAGACTGCCTTTCTATCCTCTATAAAGGGGCCAGGAAAACACGAATTGCAATAGTAATAGATTTGGGGGGGGATTTCTTTATTTATTTATTTATTTAATTAAGTGCCACAAGAATCCAAACCAGCTCTTGGCAGCTCACAATATAAAAAACAATAAAATCACAGCTCAAAGGATGGGATCTGGTTGCTCAATTCCAACTAGGTTGGGTGCCATCTTCCTTAAGCCGAGATGTGGGAGAATAGCCTTATGGAACATCAACAGGGTGGGATCCATACTATGATAGAAAAGGCACGCTTCCTGGGTCACCGATAGATGGCACTGTTTGGTTGAAGGAATTCAAAGCGTGCCAACTCTGCTGGCATGGACAAAAAAAACTACAGTTAGCAAAACATTTTGCTAAAAAGTATAACTTTGAGGAAAAAATTAGTATAGCAGCATATCTGGCTTGCATGTTCTATTGATTTCAAATTAAATTAATCATAAAACTCATCAATCTCCTTTCCTGCATCAGTGGTTAGAGTATAAACTTCAATAGTTATCTTATTAAAAGGTTAATATGAAGCATAATTGATATTATTTAGTCATTGATTGCATTGTAACAAGCACTGTTTTTGCTGAACCCTTCCTGACTATGAAAGCCATACCATTCTTCTTTGGGGGGATGGGGGTGTATGTGTGTTTGTGTGTGTTCTGAGTAGTAAACACTGTTATTATCTGACTGAAAGCGTCGGTCTCAATTTTCCAAGGCTAGGATGTTAATGTGTAGTCAATTCATTTCATCTCTCTTTGTGCTGAGTTTTCCCAGGCTTGTTATGTTCCATCTTCCCACTGTAATTCTATCTTTGCAGTTGTGTGTTTTATTTTTTCTTGTGGCAACATTAGCATCATTAGACATCCTGCAATCTTTAATACAGCCAAGTCATAATTAACATTAGTACGCCAAAAGATCCTCCATTCTTCCTCAATAGCATATTGAATGCCATCCAAGTTGAGGGGCTATTGTCTAGCAAGTATATCATCAATCACCTTATATCGCCTATCCATATGGATTCATTGGTAAAATACAGGATTAATTTACCACTGCCTCCTCTTGCACAGTATGAAGTGATGCCTTTGCCACTGTCACTAAAATGATATTTTCTCTCCAGCATCTTTCTATATTATTGCTTCCCAATAGATTCCTGCTTGCTTTCACTGAGCAGCTGGGGTGACCTTCATACTTTTGATAACCCTGTTAGGATTATGTACTTCAGACATACACTTTTGGCATTCTTTATTTATTCCTCTCACAAACACCCACAGTACCACAATGAGGCAACCCAGCAGGACTTGAAGAGGGTAACTGTAGGACTTAAACCTTTATTGAATTGGAAAACTGTCCTCAATTAGTCAGTATTTTGATATTTTGATATTCTATGGTTCTCATGTTACTGCATTTTGAAACCCACAGACTTAGAGTCAGGCCAGTCATCTTGCATACTTAGTCTCCAAATGGTGATCAAATGCTGGAAAATATACAGGTTGATGTGCATTCCTCTTGAAGCAGAGGCATTACACAATTCTTGTTTCTGACATGAGCTCAGCAATCACTTTCACTATTGGATTGTGCGTAATGGCATGAGAGCACCAGGGGTATCTTCAAGACCAAGAAGATCCCATGCATCAAGTAGGTCTCCAAGTGTTCACAGTATTATAAGACAACATCTTTCTATTCAAATAGTGGAGATACTCAACTCAGGATTTACATGGAGCTATCCAAGGTTCTGTTTCCTTTACTTTTGCCTTTTCTCTCTTCACTGAAGGCCTCCTTATGATCTTTCCTGACTTCCTCTTTGAACTTTCAGTAGCCATAAAAATATAGGATTCCCTACATTCAATCTCAACTCCTGGTGACTACATGGACATGTCCATGTTTTTTATTAGCAACAATGTACACGTGGTTTGTCTTCTAGGATGCTTTCCAACATTTTTGTCTAGATAACAGTTTGGGAATTTTTGTGGGCTCCCATCCAAGTATTGACAAACTCTCCTTAACTGCTGAGCCCAAGGAGGTTGACAGAAATTGTCACATGCTGAGAACTTCAAGTAGTTGTAGAATATGCCTCTAAGAATAGCAATTCTCTTTTTATACTTTAGTTAAAGAATGAGTGAGTAGTTTGAGATTGGTTGACATTATAGATGGTACCGAAGTGACCTAATTATAATTGAGAATATATATATATATTCCTGAATATATGGTTTTGACTCCCTGATGCATCCTGTGATTGTAGGTGTTGGAGTAATTATAGGAAAGAATGTAACTTCTAGAAAAGTGTTTGCTAGGTATAAATTATTTAAAAACAGAATGTGCTCATTCTTCAAAAGAAATATTAATTTATGAAATGTGATCAAATAAAACTAACAATACAAATGTAACTAAATAAAAGTATAAGACTGATTAATCCACAAATACCATGGCAGCAGAAGGGTAAGAATATCTGTACAGTAAATGCAATAGAGATTTTATGTTTTATGAAAAAAGCTAATTCCTGAAACTAATCCCATAGTATAACACTCAACCCATTTTGCAAACAAAGACTTGGATGAAGTTTGCTCCAGAGTTTCCATAAAAACAGATCTGTGAATCAAATATTGTAGTTGAAATTAGTGTGTACGAAGGGTGAAAAAAAATCTTTATAGCATAAGAATATCTTTACAACTTTTAAAATGAATACACAAGCTTTTTTAAAAAACACTAATACTAATCACACTCTTAGCTTTAGAGTAAATTTTAAAATATTTCAGTAAATTTAGCAATTTTCCTTGCCACTAACATAATGCCAAGTAAAACTACTCATCAAGTAAATTTTTATAATCAGCTTTCTGCAGTATTGCCCTGTGGTATATATTAACCTTTATCTTTTGGTTGATAGACATCATCCTAAAAAATGTAACAGAATACATGTGCTTGCACAGGGGTATTGTCAAAGGAATTGATGTGCTGCATTCCTTTCCTTGAACCCTTCATTTACAAAATTATTTCCAAAAGCTAGGGGTGGGCAGTTTGGAAATTAAAAGACATATGAGGAAAGCAGGATAAAGTTGCAGAAAAGGAGAGCGGAAGAACCTATAACCTTTCCTTCTACTTACTCCAGTGTCAACAAATATGTAACCAATTAATATAATCACAGACTAATTATGGCATGTAGAGAAATAGAGTTTCAAGGATTTCACGAAGGTTGTACAAAATAGAAGGACTTCCCCACTCCACTCTGCAGAGGCTCACAGGTTGTATCCATGTCCTTATAATTGGAGATGGATGACCACCTGTTTTGCAGGTGTGGCCTTACATGGGGAAGTCAGGCAGGAATAGCTGAAAAGAAGAGAACAAAAAGGGTCATTCTCAAACTGCGACCAGGTTGTATGGATTGCTTTACAGTTATTTCCCAGCAAAATAGCACTTCCTAACAAAAGGTGTAAAACAAGCAGTAGCTTATAGCACAAACATGAAATTAGATAGAAAATAGGCCCACTTACTAAAATGGCACTGAATCTCAAGAAAGTATGCCTTAAACCCAAAACAAAGTCTTCTACAGTCCCTAAATTTAAAGCCTGCAATATATTTGAATAGAGAAGCTACATCACAAGGCTGAACAAAACCTCTTAAAAGTTTAACAGATTTCTTCTGGTGTTCTTATGC